AATATTAGATAGATTAGTTTTTGGTATTTCATTATTTGAATCTGATACACCACGGTTGGCGTTATTTTATCATTGGTACCATGAACAATTAGAATCAAATGGTAAATATTAATTTTCACATAATTTAAATTTTACTATTATATATATTAATACTAATTTACAATTTAGATTACATTTTTCCAGCTGTAAATAATCAAATTAAAAATCTATTAGAAAGTCGATGGATAAAAATATATCATCCCGTTATATCATTTGCACATCTTTTGGATCCACGGTATTATGGACAAAAACTTACAGCAAACAGTATGTCAATTATATCGCAGTTTATTCAACGATATTATCCAAGTAAAGCGAATACTGTTTGGCGACAGTTAATTGAATACAAAACCAAAACTGGCATATTCAATCTTCAGTTGGCATGGGAAACCGTCAATAATGTTGATCCTGTTGCTTGGTGGAAAGGGAACTTCGAACAATCAGCACCTGAGTTATGTAAAGTTGCAATCAGAATTCTTTCAATTCCTTCGTCATCAGCAGCCTCTGAACGTAATTGGTCAGCATTCTCTTATATTCAAGAAAAAAAAAGAGCTCGATTAACAAATGAACGAATATTCAAATTAGTATACATATATAGTAATTATAAACTGTCTCGTCCCCGAAAAGAATTTTCTGATATAGCAAATGCTATAGCACGGTTTAATAATAGGCTGTCACAAGATTCAAATAGTCAAGAAGATGCTGAGCCATTAGATCCAACAGATGATGACTTAAATGATTCATATGATGAAATATTAGTGGAAGATGGAAGCGAATTGCTTGAAGATTTGGAAGAAATTAATAGTGAAGACATAGATAGTGATGAAGCAGAAAACGATAGATAATTTTTTTTGAATATTGTAAAACTGCTAATAAATTTGCATTTAATACATAATACAATTCTGTAATTTTTTTAATTTTGAGCTATTAAATAAATATTTGCTCTTGCGATTTTTGCTAATACTGTATCAATATATTACGTAATTTTACCATGCTGAGTCCAATCATGCGCATCATGCGCATCATGCGGCATGATGCGCATAACATGGCCAAAATGCGCATTTTGCCCATCTCTATGCAGGACTCCAATGTTACATCAGATTAGAAATTTCTGTATTTACGCATAATTATGCCCCAAAAATTTTTAAATAATTATGCGACATACCGTATGCTTCGCGATAAAAATCAAGTTTATGCGCATATCAACCACGGGTGACCCGGGTGGGACCCAATCACAAAGCTAACGCACATATGTAAAACAATTACGGTGTGGCGTAGTAATAATTGCTAGTTAGTATTGCATAACGATAATCTATTGAATAATAATGACTTCATTACACCGCATTACATATATTGGGTTAGTTTCGGCAATAATCTAAGCCGAATAGAAGAGGTGATTCTTACTAAACATCACTTGGATTTGAGCGTCTCTAGCTCTAGGGGAGATCTCAACAATCCATCTTTAGAATTGCTGGTTTTTCTTAGCGATACTCATTCCTATAAATATATCCTGATATTAAATTTTAAATACTCTAAAAAATGTATTACTACATAGTTGTAATTGCCACATTTGTTAGTTACGTTTTGTATAAATGCTATATTCATCCTTTTTATTTGTCTTCATTACGTAAAATTCCTGGACCACCTTTTGAAAACTTATTTATCGGGAATTATGCATCATTTTTAAGAAAAGAGGTAAATTCTATTTAAAAAAAAACGAGACGTCGTTTACAACTCTTTTTTTACTTATTTCTAAATACATATTCATGTTTTCAGCCAGCTAAAGCATTTATTCAATTAAAAAAACGTTATGGAGGAATCGTTCGATATAATTCCTTATTGAACAGACCTCATATAATGCTTTCCGATCCAAAACTTATACAACAAGTTCTGGTTAATCGTTCATACGACTTTCCAAAATACTACACCAGAAATGTAATGAAGGATATTTTTGGAAATGGAATTTTGCTTGCTGAAGGAAATTCTCATAAGCGACAAAGAAAAATGATGACTCCTTCATTCTCTTTTACCAATATTAAAGTATTCTTTTTCAGTCATCAATATCACGAGCTGTAAAAATTTTAATCTCACATATCTAATCATATTGAATTTCTAATTTTGAAGGAAATGTTTCCAACATTTGTTCAAGCCGGCAATAAATTGAAAGATATGTGGATGAAACAAATTGGTGATAAGAAAGAGGGGAGAATTACAATTACAGATTTAATTCCAAAGATAACTTTAGATGTTATTGGCCTTGTTGGTAAGTATCTATTCGTTTTATTCGTCCACTTTACATAATAGATTTATCAATTATGTTTTTAATAATAAATTGTATTATTATTTTAACATAAAATAGGATTTAATTATGAACTCAATTCTACTACTACAAGTTCTGAATTAGCACAAGCATATAAAACAGTGTTTACTCGTGATCCTTCACCTGCATACGTTTCCCTTGTTGATCTCTTTCCGATCATCAGAAAATTGCCAATCCCTTATAATAATAGATTCAATAATGCTACTAAAATCATCAATGAAATTTCTGAAAGATTAATTTCCGAACAAAAAAACAATCCCGTTCAAGGAAAAGATTTATTGGCTTTATTGGTAAAGGCAAACGAAAAATTACCTGTTGATGAACAATTAAAACATGATGAATTGATGGGTCAAGTAAGTGCTCCTCTGAAAAATTTTAAATTTATACAAAATTTATAATTTTTTTAAACTAATATGAAATTTATTAAATTTAGGTTATGACATTCCTAATAGGTGGACATGAAACCACTAGTTTAGCGCTATCTTGGTCATTATATTTCCTTGCAAAATACCCTGATGTACAAGATCGTCTTCGTAAAGAATTGTTTGATGCATTTGTTGACCGTAATTATCAACCAACTCTTGATGAAATTGAACAGTTGAAATATTTAGAATGTGTTTTAAAGGAAACTTTAAGGATCCTACCACCTGGTATAGTTCGAATATCACTTTTTTTTCTATGATTCAAAATATTCTATCTATCTAATTCTAATTTTATATATTTATGGATTAAAGTACCATCAGTCCGTCGTCGTGGAATAAAAGATGAAATAATGAATGGATACGTTATTCCAAAGGTATTTTTCTTAACTACTAACTTATTATTTAAATTATTTAATAATAAAGTTGTGCATAACTTTAAAATAATCTTTTAGGGAACTCCATTAGTGATTCCTATCTATGCAATCCATCATGATCCTTTAATTTGGGGTGAAGATGCTGAAAGTTTTAATCCATCTCGGTGGTTTGATCCGGAAATTAAAGCAAAAATATCAACCAGCACATATTTACCTTTTAGTGCTGGTCCGAAAAATTGTATAGGAATGAAAATCGCTCAATTTGAATTTAAATCTATTTTATCTATACTTATTAGAAATTTTAAGTTTAAAATAGTTGAAGGATTTGCCTTTAAAATGAAAGCTGTAGGTTTTCCTAATCCTATTCCTGGAATTGATTTATGGGTTTCAAAAATTGAAGATTAAATCTTTCTTTTAAGACAAGATCATTCTCATAAGGTTTTGGCAAACAATAAATATAAAACATACTAATCCTAAGTAAATCCGATCAATTTTGTCGGCAAGGCTAGTTAATAAATTAGTAATGTTCCGTTATTATTACACTACTAGTTAAAAACTGGCATATGCAATTTCTAGCTATTATAAATACGAAGCATAGGAATCATTAGTTCCTGTAATGTAAATCCAAAGGCACAAATATTATGAATGTTTAAACTGATGCCGTCAGCTGTTTTTAAGGTAATGACACACGTCATCAACGTCTCGTATATGCTTCAATTGAATCATCCTTCACTGTCAAAACAACTTGAAAATTGAGGTCGTGAAGTTCCAGAATTAAAAAAAGTAGGCGACATATGAGTGAATATTTTTCAGAAATTAAATTGTAGCTTTGACTGCTGCATCGATACCATCGCCATGAATTCCAACAGCCACGCGCAAAAGATAGGATTTTTCAAGTGTTTTGAATTCAAAATAGTCATAATTATAATCTATCGTAAATGATCGAGAATTAAGTTTTTCCTGATTATATTGTAGGCTGCTTCTAAGACCATTGAAGCATTTTTTTCTAGTATCCTATCCCTAAATAGTTTTCCAAGCAAGTCGTCTGGAAAATTCATGTGATTAAGCTATTATATTGAATTGTAGACTATAAATTGACGGTTTAAGGGATAATATAATTTTTCACGTCGACTCAGCTACATATTCCGTCGTCATCATTTTATTTCGATATATCAAAGTATGTAACAATAAAAATGGGCATCTGGATCTGCATACCTGAAACATAATTACGAATCATTATGATATTTCAGGTCAATCTTATTTTTCGACAGATGAATTTATTATAAAATGATATGGGAAATCTGTTCGCAAATATTAATAATGTACACAAATATTTACAAGCTCTAAGGAAGACAATATGGTAAAATAATATCTATCACAATTGATTTTTACAATATCTACAGCTAAGAGAACAATTTGAACCTCCTTAGTCATCTCAAACAATTCTTCTGCAGCTACAATTAGGGGAATTCAGACAAGAAATGTCTCATACAAAACATTATCACGTAGCTACAAAGAAAATCTGTATTATGGTTATTATGAGGTGCTAAAATACTATAACTATATAACAGTTCTTGCACCGCCACAGCAACCGCGGTGTCAAGCACAAAAAATAAAGTCTTTACAGTGCTATTACAACTGCAGAGTCAAAACCAAAAAATTTTTACACGCAACTGCAGCAGCAAAGCCAATCACTGACTATTAAACACTCTTAACCTATTTTCGAAGTGTTTATTGTAATTGATACTGCCGTACCATTTAACGAAAGACTCAGCTTTCACTATAAGATGAGTGCTAACGAAAAGAAAGGTAACTATCCTTTATGTGAACAAAAACTCCTAAATATCCTGAACTGATTAAAACATTCCCCCCTCTTTTTCGTTATTATTTTTAAGTGTAGAACCATATTATTATTCTCCTTACCTATTGTCCTTTGCAATATTCATGGTAATTCCATATGCGAGTTTACAATTTTAGTAGCGGATGGATTGGTGATTTCAATAGTAAGTTGTTCATTATCTTAACAGTAGGGAGTTCATAATTTCAACAGTAGGTAGTTCATAATTTCAACAACAGGTAAGTTTGTAATTTCAAGAGTATGAATCGGTTTTAATAGCATGGGGCTCGTTATTTCCATGGTAGGTGGGTTCATAATTTGTAGAGTGAGTTTAGTGTGGATAGGTTCACAATTTAGCAGAGGTTCATGGTTTCAACAGTGGTGGATTCACTATTAGTAATGAATGGGTTGGTCTGTGATTCCCACAGCAGGTGAGTTCATGATTTCGGCAATAAATAGCGATAGGTTTGCAATTTCATTAGTGATTTTAATACATTAGGCATTATTTTGGTTTCAGATAAATAGTAATTTCAATATCACGTGGATTTAAAATTTAATAGTGGGTGGTAGTCATTTCAACGGTGGGTGGGTTGCAATTTTAACAAAGTATAAAGATTTTAGCGATTTTAATAGTAAATGTATTCATAAATTTAATACAGTGTATTTATAACAAACTACTCAATTTTTACACAAAAATGAAGAAATTTGCATATTTGCACAGCAAGACAACGAGAGCAAGAAAATAGCCAATAAACCGCTTTCAAGTTTGTGATACAAAAAAAATTCATTTTTAGAGATGTTTCGTTATAAATAGTTTAATAGTATTAGCTAATCTAAAAACGGTAAGTGCGAATTTAGTAAAACCATGGATCAATTTTGATGCCTGAATTCTTTATAGTAAAATTAATATTATTTCCCCAAATAGTCAATGTTTTAAGAGTATTGTTCTTGTTAAGTGCATCTTCTAATGCTATTCCTCCTTCTGAACAGAGATTATTTGAATTAAACTTTAAAGAAGTTAGTGTAGTGTTCTTGCAAAGTGTATATGCTAATGCTTTTCCTCCTTCTGACCCAATATTATTTGAACTAAGATCCAAAGAAGTCAACGTGGTGTTTTTGCACAGTGCATCTGCTAATGCTTTTCCTCCTTCTAATCCAAGCCCGTTATAACCAAGACTCAAAGCGGTCAGCGTATTGTTTTTGCAAAGTGCATCTGCAAATGCTATCCCTCCTTCTGATCTAAGGTTATTCCCGTTGAGATTCAAAGAAGTCAGAATGGTATTCTTGCAAAGTGCATCTGCTAATGCTTTTCC